CAAAAAATTCACGACAATCTTAAAGTGACTATGGAAACCTTTTAGGGCTTTAGCAATACAATTAATAAAGACGGAAATTAAAGGAGAGAAAGTTAGGTCATTCGAGAGGACTCTGAGTATATGTTATGGCCAACCATCACCAGTAAAGGCTTGCGCATCGGGCGAATGTTTGATTGGCGTTCACTTTCTTAAGAAACGGTTATGTACTAAAGGTATTGTGTTCACTTAGCTGCTAAGAGAACGAACGTACAATCCACTGTACACCATTAGGAAGTTTTAGACATCGAAAATAATTGGAATCAACACTTGGTATGACTTCTTCCTCATGCATACAAGTATCTAAACTGTCAAATGTTTTTACCTTAAAGCTATCGATAACACGTGAGTGTAAGCATATGTTATGTTCTGTTTGTTTCACTTGAGTTTCATCTTTGTTTACTTATTGTTCATTTGAATGCGGTTTGCCAAAGCTTATCTATGTATATATTGCTTACTTCTAAAGTAAGATTTCAAGTATGTGCACAATCTGTCTTCATCATGTGCAGTGGTTAAGTGAACAACTCTTGAATCAATCACGCCCTTTAGGATTTTCAATTTAAAGTATGAATTTTGTTTTCAGATTTTAAAACCATTGACTGTCTTCCATCATCATGTTATTTTTAAGTGTTTGGTTGCGGTTTTAAAATTTGTTTAAAGTTGACACTTCTCTACATGATAACGTGAAGTTCGAAAAAGCTCAGGGTCCAATTTTAGAGATTTACTTTTAGTCTTCCTATCACAAAGTAATAGCTCATACCCATTAACTGGTCAATTAATTTCATGCTGTACTTTACTTTCATTTAAGAGTCTATTTTCACACTTGTCTTATGTAATTACTTTAAAAACACATGTTATTATTACTTGAATACAGTCTTGTTTAAACAATTATGACGTTCTTTATTCTCTTGTTTCTGGCATGTTAATAGAAGAAAATTATCAGTTTCTAGAAGCAAGTTTTAATTCGTTTCCGTCTACTTTATTTTCAAGATGTATGCATTTCACTCTTACTTAAAAGAAACAAGCATGCAAAATACGAATTAAATTGCAGCACAAATTGCTTATTTTGTCATCAAAAGATATTGATACCCGACAGTAATTGAACGGTATGTCGGGAAAAGTTTCAAAATCGTTTCTATTCTTAATAAATGCTTCAGTCGAATTATCAATATTATCATTGTACTGATCTTTGGTGTGTCTTGTCATTTATGCTAGTTTTTACTTTTTCTTTAATCATGTTTTTATTTTTTTTATTTATTTATTCTTTAGACATATACAATAATGCATAATTATTTACTATATTAATGAATATTCTCAAACTTGCCTCATACTTAAAACTAATGTTGAATTTATTTACGAGTTGTACCTGTGAAGATAGGTATTTAGGAAAAATACATGATGAAAGTGGAAAGGTGTACATGATCATTTAATCAATTTCAGACTGCTTTAGTTGAATTTTGATGTGAGCTGAACAGGTTTACGCAATTGTGTATAATAGTGTGCAACGTAGATGCAAAAATTCTCTAAAATATTGATTTTTAAGTACCGTTCAAAGACTCTGATCATTGATATTTAATTTTATAACATCGAACTATATTAAAATTTTCTAAGTTTTGAATGTAGATATGTTTTAACAAACAGTCATTTTGTAACAAGCTTCCATGGCACAAAGAATGCATACCTATATGTTCATATAGTCCGAGAAAAGCAAAGTATTGACGGATTATCAAGATATCTAAGTCATGTAACGTCTTGGTTTATATTCAGGAAGGGTTTTACATGCACTTTGCTGTTGTTCAAAGTGTATGAAAGTATCTTTGACATCGATTTTTTTAAAAACATTTTCATCGAAACTATTTCTTATTAAAAATTGCTCATTAACACCAGTCGGAAACTGACGAAACAATATACAAATATTAAATTTAAAAGTACAAGCAAGGGTAAAGTAATTCAGCCAAAACCAGAATGCATGGCTTTGCCAAACTTTATCATGTTTACCATTTCGCAGTCTCTGCAATTATTGGGATTGCCTAAATGAAAATTTGCATTATCTGGCTTTAAAACGTTTCCTGGTGTTTTAGATGCAATAAAATAATGATACTGTAATCATTTGTAATCAATACGTGTTATATTGATGTCTTAATATATGAAAATGGAACATTTATAGAGGATGGGTGGGAAGCTTTTCTTTCAGGTTCAAGTTTTAAAGTTTCAAGGATGTAACATTTACATCTGGAAACGAACCAGTAAGGAAGTCAAATTTAAAATATACCTGAGAAAGAATGACATGCGCTTGTATACAGGAAATGTTGCATTTATTTCACTTCACGCAACAGCCAAAAGGCATTTGCTTTAGAAGAAGTCGATAACATATATGAGATATGATATTATTATTCTGATAGCATTGCTTTTGGAAACTTACTGGTCCAAAATAAGTACAAACCGAGTACATTGAAGATGTATTGTCATTTGTTAAGTGCATTGCTTATTAGAAATTATTAATTTGTTAATCAATCTGTTCACTAAACAACACCTTCAATATCTTACCCAATCACGATTGGTCTATACAATCATATTTATTATACATATGAACTATATTTTGACAACTGATACTGACTGTTTCACAGTTATCTCAGCTTTATCTATAGTGTTTTAACATTTGTAATGGATTACTGTATCAGAATAAAGGCGTTGTATTGCCATGGCATTTGCTTAGCGTTGTGTGTTATGGTTTTGATATTAACAGTTATTTAAACAATACAATTATCTAAAAATAGCCATGTTCTGCATTTGTCCTTTCGAAAATTAAGTATAGCAAACTTTGTACAGTTGTTTTCTTTTTTACACTTTTGGTCGTATTCATTGCAATTTTGATATTTTAAATATCAAATGATTATGCCACATACTTCTCTATAAAATATTGTAACGGTCTTTGAATTTACGGATCTCTTTGTTTGCTTTCTTTCGTCCGTCTGATCAGCAAATTGTGCAGTCTGAAAATGAAATACAATTTAATGTAAAAAGAATTAACACACACAAATCATAGAAGAAAGGTCTCAGCGTTCATTTTATTATATAAAGAGACGGCTAAAGGACATGAATGTCGAAGCATTGCATCAATCAATTAACATTTTTCATGACGTTATTGCACAATTGACGTGTCCTGCTTTGGATTTGGATCTGTAAATTAGTGCTTGGAATGGTTTTAGTAAAGTTCTAAAATGTCATCCACAAAGTTAATGTGATGTAAACTTTCCCACACAGGTTGTTTGAAATTAAGAGGTGTTTTTTCATGAAGGTGAAACATGATAGTGCATAAAGAAGATATGATTTTCTCTCAAATGCTCTCAAAGTTGTTCAAGTAGAGTTGGCAAACATTTTATATCTGTCTTTCGAGTAATTCAACAAATTATTTGACTCTTTGGTCCAATGTAATAACATATTATTCGTTCGATTTAACCTTTAAGTTCACCCAAAATACCACATTATTCTGCTCTTGCAAAGAATTTGAAATCTTATTATCTATGTGAAGTACGTTGCAAAATAATGTGAATAAGTTCGTAATTTCTTTTGATAAAACAAGGTAACTTTAAGATTTTCGTGGTGGATATTAGTACGGTTATTTTCTGTTTAGATATATTTTTGTTTATACTTTGTTCGTATAGTTAAGAAATTTACTCAGTAGTCTGCTTATGTTCTAGAAGCATAAGAAATATTTTCAATATCTCAAAATGCATCGACCCTAAGTGTTACGAACTTAAATAATATATAAAGTCTTCAGTCAGTTAAATGTGAATTAATCAAGCAGTGTACCATCGATTCATTGTGCTACTGATTAAAGAGCTTGAACTACTGAACTAACATATAAGAGACTTATATATATGTACATTAAGATAAAATATATGTTGTTCTCATTTCCAACGTATATGTACACGTTGTATTATTTTATAACAAATAAATCGATCTTATGATCTCGAAACTTTAAAAATAAAATGTATACATGTTTTAATAATATTTAAATATCCATAACAAAATCTATAGTTATGCCCAGGTCAATACCTTATTGATTAAAATTCCAATATTTGACTTATTATAATTCTGTTTCAAAATGCTCCCAAAATTGATTTTGATTTTTATTTCAATTTCCTCATATAATTCCTTCGCAATACCGGAAAGAAAATCTTGACTGACAAGAAAATTGAATTTGGATGTATAATAGATTTTAATTTTGTAACTTTTTGTTAATTTAGTATTCTCGCTTAAATATTTAACACTTTGGTTAAATTACAAATAATTTTGCATTGATTTAGATTTTAACATTGCATTAATGTGTTGTTCTTAATAACATAGTTTGTAGAACATTTTATCAAGTTCCTATAAAATTGCAAAGTTAAAGTTTAAATGTGTTTTGAATTGCGCTTAGACCATATCTTACACAAAAAGTTTTAGGCATTCTTGTGATAAAAAATATTTTATAAATATATTTAAAATAAATGTATTATTTTATATGAAATGATCAGGTTTTTTGTCAATGTTCGGAAAAAAAGGAAATGTCCCCCCAGGAAATTTGCATCACAGAACCATATTGATGATAATAATAAACTCTTTTATTTTACAAAGGTGGCTTATTAGGACATTACATCAAAACATCACATGAAGCATAAAATGCAAAATCTAAGTAAATTTACATCTTATTCATTAAAAGAAACAGACATAATATTATGATAGCTTTATATTAGTAGCATTATGTTGATAGCATCATAATTATTGATAGCAAGAACATTGTTTATAAATTATCGTGAAGCGACTGTGATGTTCATGCGTATTGCACATCTTAAGCTTAAATGTCAGTATAATTTATCGCTATTAATTATTTTGAAGGTATAAACGTAATACTATTTATATTTTATTTGTTGGTGTTTTATTCGCCCATTGATTACACAATATACATTATATCATTTCAGATAGACATTGGAAATAAAGAAGTTTATGGGCTTTGGTATTCTCCGTCCTAACGAGTAAAGTAAAGTAAGTTTATTTTTCTCATTTCATTTTATAAGAATATAACAAAAACGTAACAGAAATGTCAAAATGATAACGATTTCTACTTTCGCAAGAATGCTCTACCTGTCAAGGCAAGAGTGGTGCCACAGTTAAATGTTTGATCTAAGCATCATTGACGGATTAATTTCAAAATTGCGGAATCAAGGGTTCTCGATTCGTCAAGTAGTGTCATAAATTACATTTAAGTTGAAACGTGTTCAGCGGAGATAATACAAACATGCAAAATATAATTGCACTTTAATTGGGAACACAATTAAAATGTGTATATTGCATCTGTGAATATTTGACCCGTACTCCAACTCATAATATTGTTTCTGGATATAAGGTATCATTTTATTCAATACATTTAATATTGAGAACTGAAAACTGCGTCAAATTCTTCAACAAAGTTGGTGCTTTGGGTATGAGAGATGTTACATTTTACACAGTCGCTCAAGAAAAGAGTCAATAAAAACCAAATTTACCCTTTTAAATTTACAGATTACCTAGCTTATTGTTCTTGAGATATCTTCCCTTTCAAATAATTTAGATATTTAACTGTAGAAAAATATTATTATGACTTATTCATACTAAATGCAATGAAATTCTGTTTTTTAAGGCTGGTTTATAATTGTTTTGTTATATCTTTATAAAAAGTATAGACATGGATGTGCTTGAATACGTTTTTGCTTTAAATAAAAATCATACATTTTTCTTTCCTTTTCAATATAATCCAAGTTAAAAGAAGGATATGTTTCCTGATATCTTTTACAATTCTACAAACATTTCAAGCATATTTATAGTGTTAATATCTCAAAGATTAATGTGTTAAGCCGCCTTTTTCATAGAATCATCGCCGTATGAAAATAAACTCATGTTAGGATCACCTTTGAAGTAGATAAGGTAAATAAACAAACCACAATAAAATACAATTTTTCTGTAAACATATTGGAATGAAACGCAGTTCTAGAGATTTATGAGAGAACCTTTTAATCCTCAGACATTAAAAATATGTTCATGTGATATCATGAAGCAATAAATAACAAATCTCAGCATGTTTATAATTTCGGATAGGATATATTCAAGAATGAAAATCAATCTTATTGAAATTTTATGCATGACGTACCTGTTCGAAGCTTGCAAATTTAAACAAACCTTGAAAACATTTAGGTAACGATTTTATTAATGGTGAATGGTTTAATAATCCATGATGATTTTTTTTCACATTTGCTTCATGACAAAACATAACAATGCAACATAACGAAATTATAAAAGAATTTTGGTCTAAATGCGCACTACACAAGAAGCGTCTTTTTTTCTAATTTGAAAATAACCGCTCGAGCACGTAGGCCCCATATAACTGTTGGATTGAATCCCGTAAAGGGATGCAATGAATAGGGATGCAATGAATTTATTCTACTAGAATACAGAAGGTCTGTGGCTCTAGCAAGTGGCACCTGTGGCTTTCCCTAATAAGTTTAATAGGAAAATCCTTTTACAGTCTTTACAGTGCCGGTAAAACTTACGACAAAGAAAAACATCCCTCATTTGATGTATTTGTTCTGTTTTACAAACAAATTTATTGAGATGGAGATTTACATTTTCTCACACAAACACTGTGTAATGTATACTTTGCCATTTTTTAAGGTTTCACCTTTTGCATTTACGTGATGTGACGGAGTTGCCATGTTCAATCTTAGAAAATAAATAACACTTGAATTATTTTAGTAAAAATATATAAAAATAAAGCTACAAACAATTTTACCTGACCATGTTGCAAAGGCGTGCAGCATAAGGTATTAAAGGTAAAGTGTTAATTGATGCCGGCTTGGCTTGGCAAGAAAAAGATTTATTTTCAAACCTTATCAAATTTGATTTGGATTAAGTTTTGTATCTTTTTACATAATTCATTGGAATTCATATTTCAAGCCTTGAATATTATTCATACTTTTCAGATAAGAGTTGACGTTTTTAATGATCCTTTGACCCAATATATTTAACTTGTGGCTCAAAACTGTCTTACATTAAGATAAGTAAGATATACTTGTCTGTACTTACAAATGCCACGCCTTTTTTAGCAAAAGGTACTATATCAGAAACGTTTTTTTTTTTTTATTAATTTGCTTTTTATTAAATTATCGTGTTTGTCTTCCGGTCGATAATGTACTATTTTGATTATTATTTTATATCATCTATGTATAATTACAATTAAATCTTGTCATCATTATAAGATTTTGTTACAAAAGATATATTTTTCAGATATTTACTAATATATTAGATAGGATATACATGTATTACATGTAAAGATATTACATGTATATATTAGCAATAAAATATGATTATACTGAACATAGAATATACATGTACAAGTAGAAACAAAATCCCTGGATGTACGGAGACAGACTAAATTTTTATCATAACCGTAATTTTAGAGTATTGGGTCCTTTTGCAGTTTGTCAGTTTTATTGAGCAAATAATATGTAATAATATCAAATAGTTTTTTTAGGGTTTTTTTGTATGTTTTGATAACAGTCTCATAATAATAGGAACTTTGAGATACGTTCATATACATTTGTATTTGAGTTGAAAGTACGCGGAAGCATTGAATAGTTACATGTAGAAGAGATCGTTATGAAGCTCACATGATTTATGTTATCCACGGACGTATGAATACAATTTAAATTGTCTTTAATATTTCATATTTTATAAGTATTTGAAGAAGATTTAACAACATATATTTATCATTATGCATTTGCTACTATATCTAACAGCTTCTGCATATTACACAATAAATATAAGACAGGTTTATCGAAATAAAACATGACACCTGTCAAAAAGTTACGTTTGCCAACAGTAATAATAATCAACAACAAAAAAATTATTGACGTTTTTACGTTTACATTTTCTCTTGAGTATTAATTTTGTTTCTATTCTAATAAAGCCATATCAAAGAACAGAAGATGAAAACAAATTGTGCTACCAATTTTTCGATGAAGCAATAACATCGCTAAGCCTACGAAATACAGGATTTTAAAAATTTTGTTAAAGCATGTTCTCATGCTTTTTGTTTGCTTTTATTTTATATTAATCAATTGTTTACATGCCTTAAATAACAGGGACAAATTTTGATAGAACTCCCTCCTGTTATGACCATAATACTATAACAAATTTGTGGTCATACAGTTTGTTGTTTTTTGTTTTCTTTTTTCTTTTTTTTTTTGGGGGGGGGGGTATTTCTTTAATTCCCCCTATTTCATCTTATGTCAATTATTACTTAAGAGAATCATTTTTAAATTGATTAAATTTCAATGAATAATTTTATTGTTTAAGCGCCATCGATAGAGTTTGTCTTATTATCAGTGCATTTATATCACAATCATTTAAACGGTTGTCGGTACCTGATTTGAAACAAAACTGTGAGTTTTAATTTCAATATTGGAGTTGTATCGCCTATCAAGCTGTTACCTCTTGCAAATGTAATTTCTTTAACTTAAATTGATTTTTTTTTCTCTTGCGATTAAATGCCAATAAATGCACACAAATGGGAATTTAGAATGCCTTAAATGGCGAAGCTGCAAGTTGTGGGTGTCAGAGATGGAAGCAAATTGACGTAACTTTATCAAGTGTGATATTTAAACAGTGTTGTGAAAACGGTTCTTGTAATCTATTTTAAGGACCTCCTCCGCACGTTATTACATTAAATGATATAATGTCTATTACAAACGATGATCTCTGTGGTTTTAACATTGAATATACTTATTTTATATCAATAAAATGATAAGATATGTTCCTGGGATCATTTGATAATATATTTTATGTACTGAGATAACACAGGGCAACAACCTTTCAAATTAGACTTGAAGTAAAAATGTTCTGGGTATTGAGCATCAAAATTAAAAATCTTTTTGTTGAATTCTAAGGCGTTCCGTTTTGGCCAGCGCGTTTTCTCGGAGATAATTCGATTGCACAACGTTTGTTTCGGTACGATGGTGACAGAATGATGGTTACAATACGATTTACTGTAGCCATCGTACTATCGCTCATTGCCATCGTATTGTCAACATCGTACATTCGTACTTTGCACTTTCAGTTCTCAGGGAAAATGCGCTGGCCAAAACGGAACGCCTTAGAATTCGATTCAGATTTATTTCATAATATTTTTATTCAAGTTTAAGATTTTATTAAACAAAGGATAAACAATACATGTGGTAGATAATCTATTGTGTACAGAATATGCACGTTTATATGTTTGCAAATTTTAACCCATTTTACATGTATATGCATTTTCGATAGATTCAAGTCTACAAATATCAATAGTATGTAAAGGCTAAAATGAATAAGAGTTTTTGCCGGTGTTGTATATTGATATAGAAGATGATATATATTGATGCTAGATTTGGTCTTCTGACAGACAGCTGTAAACAAATTACTTCAACATGAATTAGTCTGCATATAAATTAGCATTATGTCTAGAAAGTTCTCGTTTGTTGATATTTTTATGCAAATTTAGGGTACACAGTTATGATTTATGGACATTTTAGTGATTGTAGAACGTTGAAATATTGACCAAAACAAATATTATAATCATATTGTATCCATGGTATTACATGATTTAAAAAGCAAGCATGCACTCTAAGATTTCCCAGTGATTAACCTACTGAATATGCTGATTCCTGTCTTGGCAATTTAAGGCTGGAGATAAAAATAACAACAACAATGTTATAAATAAAATTTATTGTATTCATAGTGTCCGTGCATGCGCGCGCGCGCGTGGGGGATAGGTGTGGCATAATAAGCTGCACGTCATTAATTATTGAGTAAAAACGAAGGCAAAGTTGTAGAAACCGTGTAACTATGTGATTAGGTTTAACAAAGTAATAATTATTCGGCTCAAAACACGTCTAAAATACTTTATACTTTGCTTTCCTAGCGGGTTTTTTCGTAGATATCAGCAAATTTTAATGTTTATAGATAACTCAAGCCCG